AAGAGCACTGATTAATGTGGGCACTGAAAAAGAGCCTTGGGGTGAGATCTGGCCTCTGAGTTGAACCTTAAAGGAAGCTAGGCCAATTTGCCAGTAATGGGGAACACAGAAGGGGGAATAATGGGACAGTATTTCGAAGCTGTTTTGGAAACGTAAGGCTATAGATGTCAAATAACATCTTTTGTATTTTATCCTCTAGGCAATAGGGAGCCACTGAGTATTCTTGAGCAATGGAGCGACAAAGGCAGAACTGTGGAGGATGAATTGGAGAGGGAAGAAATTAGAGGCAAGGAGACCAGTTAGGAGGCCGTTGCATTAGTGGAAAGAGATGATGAGGGCCTGAATTAGGGTGGTGCAGCCGGAGGTTCCCAAACTTATTTGGCCTACTGCTCCCTTAAAAAAAAATTTATTCAGTGCTCCCCTGAGAATCTACTTTCTTAAACCTTTTATTTTTTTAAAAATTTGCATCATTTCAAAAATATATATAAAATTTTTTTTTAAAAAAAGGATGCATCTTAAATTTAATAATTTATTGTAAATTTGTGGTATTTTTCCTGCATTGAAATTTTGATGATGTAATATTGTGCCATGTGACTGTATAGTATCCTATTGTAAACATGTCTTTACACATGTTCCTGCCAGTGTGTACTGGAATTCCCGACAATGCACGACATGCTCACCTGCCAACACTTGTTTGTTAAGAACTGCTGGCGGACTTGACCACTGATTGGTTATAACTTGCATTTTGTGTGTTTATTTGGGAAGTAATGTGATCACTACGACTTTAACTCTGTTGTGTTGTGTGGTTTGTCCTTCATTCTCCAAGATGACCATGACATCAGGGAGATGACAACATGACTTGCAGTTGACTTTGATTTGAGTGAGGGAGGGCTATGCAAAGTCATCAGCCTCACTTTCTCCTCCAGAATCATCAGGGTCCAGTGGCCAGATATCCATCAGGATGACTGGAGATGGTCCAGGGTGCAGTGGGTGATTTGGCCCTTTTAAACTAATGTGAATAGGTCTCTTTAAGAAGTGAGTCAAGGGATGGCCCCTTTAATAAAAAAAAAAAATCAAACTGGAAGGGGAAGACCTTCAGGGTTGCTGGCCAAAAGAGAAACAGTTACTATTTACATTCACTTTGAGCCACAATAGATGAAATGTGTACAAATGGTTTTTCAAAATTTTATGCTCTTCTCTTCTTTCCTTATGCTTCCACCACCCCCTTATTTTTATTCAACTGTTCAATGCCTCACAGTTGCACCTGAGGCTACTAAGGGGCCCCCTCCAGTGTTCCAGCACCCCTTAGGGTGTGGTATCGCCCACTTTGGGAACTTCTGGTAGGGGAAGGAAAAGATGTAGGAGATATTTCAGTGGGAAAATTGACAAGACTTAATCACTGATTGATTATGGGGAGAGAGAGGCAGGAAAGACTAAAGATTCTGAGGGTGTAAGTGGAGTGACCAAAAGAATGGTGGTTCCCTTAACAGCAACAAAAACAATTTCTGACATCCGTATAGTTCTTCAAGATCTATAAGTGCAGAGGTCATCCCAACAACCCTGATTCTCAGTTTACAGATGAGGACCCAGAGAAGTTGTGACTTAACCAGCCTCACACAGCACCAGGTCCCAGGCAGGTTTCCAAACTAGGTCTTCTTGCCCCCAGGGGTTTATCCTCTGTGACCCACAGCAGAGAAGTTAGGAGGAGAGGTGAGTTTGGGCAGAAAGAGAATGGATTCCATTTTGGGCTTGTCTGAGATGCCAATGGGCTGTACGTATGGAGATGGCCTACTGGTGGTCATTGAGAGAGGTATGGCCTGGCAGTGTAGCTTGGGAGTATTCTTCTGGTATCGGTACCCATGGGAACAGATGAGAGAAGGTGTGGAGAGGAGAAGGCCCATGGTACACACGTGCCCGGGGGCCAGGCCATGGCGGAGAATCCCATAAAGGAGACTGAGAAGAACTGTCAGAGACACTGAAGGAAAGAGGCTCCTGAAGGAAGGCGGGCTCATCAGTGTCTGCAGCTGCAGAAAGGTCAGGATGGTGAGAGGGGGCCATCAGACTTAGAAGCTAAGATGATATGGCGCCCATTCTGTCACAGAGGTTTAGAAGTAGATCTCTCCACACCCAGCCTAAGGTTCCTTAGAAACAAAAAAAGAACCTAGAACCGGAGCCACAGCCTGATACTGACCATGCCCTCCGTGCCCCCTTTTCTCTGCTCTTTAACCCGTTGACCCAAGGTGCATGGGTCTGTGTTGATGTATATAGGTGGATATAGTAGACATAGATATAGTAGATATAGTAGAACCTCCCAAAGAGTGGTTAGTAACACTAGAATCACATCTGATCACACCTTTGGTAATAGACGATTCTCTCTGTCATACAAAGTTCATAGGGCTGGGGGTGGGGGGAGTTGGGGGGATGTTCTCCTCACACTAGGCCCAGTGTTACAATGGCATGGCATAGATGATGTGCTCAAAGGTCACCTGTTAACATTGATTTCCAGGAAACCTTGATGAAGAGAGAACAAAATAAACGCGCCATGGCTTGCTCAGTTTCCTTTAGGGTCAGTGTTTGTTGTTAGAAGCAGGCAAAGTTTGGAAACAGGAGCTGTTGTTTGTGCCGCAGGGCACACAGATATTTGTTGGCAGTGAGCTAGAAGGATTTGAACTGGGAAAAGAGTAGATCATGGTGTGGTTTAGTAATATTGTAAGAGTGAGGGTGTATTATGGGGGGGGTACTCTAAAAAAATGAATGGCAGAATCTTATCTACCTGGGAGAATTTAGGGAGCATCTGACTTGAATAAAGAATGGGACCTGTTTAAAAAAACAGGTATGAGCTCAAGTAAGGAGGGAGCCTTTTCCACCTGGTAATTCTTTAAAGGATTATTTGAAGAGAGATGACATTGTTTGTTCAAGGTTGCCTAGTTAGTAAGTGGTAGAGTCAGGATTCAAATCCTTGAACTCCAAAGCCAGTACCCCCTGCACCTTGCTGCCTTTCCAGTATAATCAAGACTTTTTTTTAACTCTGAAGATAGCTACCAAGGAGATTGTAGAACATTCTAGAAATTTTCAAAAGTGAAATGGTGACACTTCGCTCCTCTCATCCCTAGATGCTGGCTCAATGTCCTTTGATGCATCTAGTGAATTTGTGATCCAGGCTGCGGTGGATGGAGGGTCAGCCACAGAGCTGATTGGTTCTAATCTTGACCGTGGCTCAGATTGTGACCTTGGAGATTTGAATTTTGACTGTGTCCCCACTTGTGACCTCGGAGAAGTTGCCTAATGTGCCTGTGTTTTCACTTCACCATTGATAAAGTGCTGCAGATATAGTGGGAAGGAAAAATGATCAAGGCTCCACAGATGCCAGGGGCCAGGCCACAACAGTGCCTAGCCAGTTCAGCGTGGCGCCTGGTATTTCAGGCTCAAGGTTATGGTCAAGGTTCTCACTCATTTACTGTCACAGTCACTTGAAAGTCATGCTTGCTGTGGGCAGCAGTGGGGACCAACCTTACTGGAGGCTTTCAGTAAGGTTGGCCTAGATGACCTTTCCTTTCCGGCTCTAAATCTGTGATTCTGCAACCCTTGGCTTATGGAGGACCTTAAAACAGCATGCCTTGTAAGGAATTTGGACACGACCCTGTAGCTAGTGGGGAACCACCGACGGCTCTTAGTAATTGCACGTTGGTGTCATGCCTGTCTTTCAAAGGGACCAATTGATCAGGAGTCCATGGGATGGACAGGAAGTGACGAGGATTCAGGCAAGGACACTGGTTTTTAAAAGGCCATTATAACCTGGGGGAGAGTTAAGGATGGCGTGAATCAAGGTGTTGGCTGTGGGAAGGTTCAGGAGGGGCCAGAAATCACAGAACCTCAGAGTTGGCAGGAATTTAAGAGGCCATTGAGTCCAGCCTGTACCTGAACAAGAATCTCTTCTGTGTGTCTACCAGGGATGTCATGGATGGAGAATTGACAAGTATGTTCAGTCCCTCCGGGCATTTTGATTGAGAATTTAGAATTCTTCTAGAGCTTGCTGGAGAACCCATGTGTCAGTAATTTGGTTCTTGACCTGAGTTGGGGAAGCAGTGCCCTCTAGCAGTGAATTAATCAACAGGCGTTTGTTAAAGCAGTCCCCAGACACTGTGCTAGGCATTCTTTCCCCTTCTCCCCCCTTCATTTGACACATGAGGAAACTGAGGCCCAGAGCAGTGAAATAGCTGCCCAGAGTTAAGTAAATGATGGAGCTCGGACCAGGTCTCCAGACCCCCAGGGGTAACATTCTGTATGCGTTTCTGCTGAAATACAATAACTTTGGCCTCACCAATAAGAGTAGTTTGTCTCATCTCATATATTTTTGACTAAAGCTGCCCATGGATTTCAGAAAATCATTAGAAACTGCCTTTGACAGTTTCCTTCCCCTCTTCCTGCATTTTCTTCCACACCCTAACTTTGAGAAGTATGCATTTTAAACTCCATGTTCTTTTGCCAGCCCCTCTTTGTTATTCACAACAACAGTGAGAAAGGTCTCTGAAGGCTTGATTAGCGCAGTAGAAAAGTGGCAAATGGGACTTTTTCATGGAAAGTAGATATTTGATGTTGCCAGTGTTTTTTTGCTCTGAACAGGCTTGCAGATGGCTGTTCTGGGCCTTCGTTAACTCATCACTAAAATGAAGGGATAGAACAGTCTGACTCCTCAGGCCCTGCCCAGCTCTCAGCTACCTCAGCTGACTGGTCATCTGGTTGTTGAATGTTTGAAATTGAGCTTTACGTTTGTACCTTTTCAACTTTACCCACGAGGGGGCAGCATCTCCTCAAATTTTCTGTCATCTGTAGTAGCTGAGGCTGAAAGAGGGGACCGGTTTTCATTTCTAAAACAGCCCGTGTTTGCTATTTGTTTTCATTTAGAGGGTTCACAAATGCGGCCTGTTGTTTTCCAAGGAAGGGGAATTCTATTAACTGAAAGAACAGCTAGACTGACTCTCTCTTTTTTCCCTCCTTAGTCTCTGGCAAACATAGATGAAGTCGTGAACAAGATTCGATTGAAAATAAGGTATGTAACCCAGCGTTTGCCTTGCCTTCATAAATTGTGCTCAGGCTGAAGCATGTGTTGGTTCAGCTGTTATCTTCTAGATAGTGTGGAGCCAGAGGGAACGTTGAAATCTCAAGTTTTATCTTGACTTTTTTTTAAGGACCTCACTTTCATCTGAGTTTCTGTGGGATTTTTGTGCCAAAGAGGTTAGCTCTAGGGTCAGCTCTCAATTAGTCATACAAAGAGGAGGGAGCAGTAGCAAGGCTAGCTTCAAACATTGGATAGTAAAGGAAAAACAAAAAGCACTTCTGCTGGATTTTGTAATGAATGATCTGGCTCTTTTCCCTGTGAGCAGACCAACCTGCATTGAGCTTTCTTTAGACTTAGTAAAATAGAGCTGTGCTTATGGCCCTAACGTTTACACCAGATGACACTGGAGAATGTGGGCTTTGGAACTTGCCAGGGAGGTGTCAAGGGGAAACCAACTTAGTGTTAGAAATTATTTTAATTTTATTAAAAATCAACTTTTATGGACATCATTTGTTTTTACATCACTTATGTTTCCCAGTGTTTTTTCCCCCTTCCTACCTCCCAGAGAGCTAGTCCTTTTACCAAAGAATTGAAAAAAGTTCAGCAAAACTAACCAAGTCATCCTTTAAGTTGAACTTTCTGGGCAACATTCCACACTCCTGGTTGGCCCCCTTGTTCCCCTTCTAATCCTTGCCCCCCGCCCCACTCCTACCTCCCCAAAGAAGGAAGGGTAGTACATTCTCATATCTTTCTTTGGGACTAAGCTTCATCATTTTAATTTCCCAGTATCCAGTTTTGAGCATTTTGATGTCATTTACATTATTGTAGTCATTGTGTATCTTTTTTTTCCTAGTTCTGCTTTCTTTACCCTGTACCAATTCATATAAATTGTCTCAATCTTCCCTGTGTTCATCATATCATTTCATTATATTATATAATATCATAGATTTCATTATATTCACATGCCATGAAAGGCAGTGTAATGTAGTGAAAACAGGCAGCTTTGGAGTCAGGAAGACCAAGGTTTGAGTCTTGTCTTTGATACATACTGGCCATATGACCATGTGACAGGTCATGTAACTTCCTAGGGCTTAGGCCTGTGGTGTCCAACTGAAATAAAAACTGAGGCCTGCATATTGATTTAGAAAACCACAAGTTGGCATTGTCTATGTTGTATTTTAATGTATTTTGTTGAACATTTCCCAATTTCATCTTAGTCTGCTTCTCTGCCCTGTTTTGCATAATGGAGTTTGACAGCTCTCTAAGATTTTAAATTACAGAGAAGTTACTCAACTGAATTGGCTATGGGAATTTGTTCACCCGGGAGTTGCTTACACCAATGAATGTCTCCTAGATGTACCACGATTTGTTTAGCCATATCCCAGTTGATGGGCATATGCCTTCTTCCAGGTCTTTGCCACTACAAAAAGGGCTACTCAGTATTTTGTTGTGTATGGGACCTTTCTTTTGATTGTTGACCTCCTTGGGGTGTGTGCCTAGCAGTGACCATGGGATTTCTAAGCCAAAGGAGTGGAGAGAGCTGACTGGCCCTGCCCTTCTTCCTGCCCAGGAAGTGGCCTAACTGTTTGAGGTTGGCACTGGACCTCCCATTCTTAGATTACTTACGTTTTCAATGAAGGCAATGTTCATTTTGAGTCTAGGGGATGATTTTTTTCCCTTCATCTGCCTCTGAGCCTTTGTAACCCATGCCACTAATAAATTTGAGTAGGTTCACAATAGTAGTAAGAGCTGACTTTTATTTGGTGTTTTAAGGTTTACAAAACACTTTATGGACATTATCTCATTTCTTGTTTGCAAGAACTCTGTGAGGCAGGTATTGTGGGTAATATTATTCCCATTTTACAGGTGATGAAGTTGGGACTCAGATTGTGACTTGCTCAAAGTCACCCAGGTAGTAAGTGTTAGAAGTGGCATTTGAACCCAGGCTCCAAGTCCAGTGCTCCTTCCACCATATCAGAGCACCCCAGCAGAGCTTTCTACTGTGGCTAGTACTGAACTGTAAGGGATGTCAAGTGTTGTGGACTTAATGGCAGCAAATTATTAGTGGAGACCACATGGCCTTCCCCCAGGTATGCAGAGACACTGGGGGTGATCCCAGTGATGACCCCAGCTTACACTCAGACCTTCACTCCGCCCCTCTTCCCTGCCCCGTAGTTTTTATTGGTTCTTCACACACGAAGTGCAGTTATTCAGTGAGATCATGTGGACTGGCTGACATTGAACAACGGCGGGTGAGAAGCCTTTACTGTAAAGATCCACAGACTGAATTCCTGGGCCTGGATGATGGAGAGCTGATTCTGGGCCGTCTCAGCCTCCTTCAAGGTGTTGAAACTAGCCAGACTGCTCAGGACGAGTTTTCCTCTTGAATTGTTTAAATTATATGTCCTGTTGCCAAAGAGTGTCACTGCCTTTCGTGTTCCTTGTTCTCAGCTCTCGGCGGCCTGGCCTGTGTGGAGAAGAAGAGGACCTGGGCCTCTGGCTCTTGTTCCTTCGTGTTGGAATCTGAAGCCCGTGTAGCATTTTTAAACAAACAAGACAAGACAGCCATGGTTTCCAGGGGCTCTGATGGGCTCCTGGCATCCAGGCTGTCACTGTCACTGTCCCTGTCGGGGCCTGGACCTCCCTCAGCCATTTGTGATTATTTCTTTTCTTAAAAAATGCTTTAGTTTTTTTGGGGAAACAGCATGGAATCTGCAGGCGAGAAGCTATGCAGTAAATTACAGAATACTTCTGACTTCATTCTGCCCAAGGTAGAGATAGTTTTGATGAATCATGCCATTTTATTTTCCTGCCAGGAGACTGGATGACAACATTCGAACAGTAGTGAGAGGTCAGACTAACGTGGGGCAGGATGGAAGGCACGTAAGTAGTCTGTCCCTGCCCGGCTCTCAGCCTTGTCTCCCTTCCTCTCCTCCTTCTCCCTTACCCCCAAAGGCCTTAGCCGCCAAATGACCAATAGGCTAGGCTACCTTCTTATAGGATGCTCTTCGTGCAGAGCTATCCCACAGTCAGGAAGCCGTGACTCTGCCTTGTGTCTCCAATAGGAGGGATGTGTTGTGGCGAACTTCCTTGTTATCTTTTTATTATTGACACCCATGGCAAGATGGCTCCCAAGGACAGAAGGGACGGATGGTCTATGGCTGTGGGGGTGTGGCTCACCTTCCCCAGCATCACACATCTCCTCTGCCCTCACTTGCTGTCTGTGCTGTTGCTGGATGAGACCACAGAATAAATGGTTGAGACCTTTCCTGATATTTCAGTACCTGCAAAATATAATCATCTGTGAAATGGGATCTGGCCTCCAGTTCTCATACTGCCTGACCCAGAAGAAGAAGAGTGTATCCACAAACTTCACAGCTCAGGAGCCAGATGACAGAAAGGCCAGGTGGTAATCGATGAATGATTTCCTGTGCAGTTAGATTTTATTTTATGCATCTTGACATTCAAGGTAGATGCTTGGCCTTGGAGTCTCAAAGACTTCCAGAAGTCAAGATCTGTGTGCCCTGACACTCATTGGCCAAGTGGCCCTGAGCAAGTCACTTTTCAGATGCCAGATGGCTTTCAGAGATTATAAATCAGTCTCCATCTGTGGACCAGTTTCCTCACTGGGAATGCTCTTCACAAAGGAAATCACAAATGTGAACACAAAAAAATGTTCTTTTAGAAATCATGGTCATAGCAGAATACACCTGAACTTCATTATTTCTCCTCTACCCTTTTCCTCAATAGCCATTCAGTTTCTTGAGGGCTGGTATTATTTTGCTATTGTCTTTGCTATCTCTACAACTAGCACAATATCTGACACATAGGCATGTAATAAATGTTTATTGAAGGAATGAATGAATGAATTCTCAGTTCCCTTTAGAATTACTTCCTTTTCTAATAGTCCCAATTCTGTTGTGTATTTTCTTTTCTTTTCTTTTCTTTTTTTTAGGCAATTGGGGTTAAGTGACTTGCCCAGGGTCACACAGCTAGTAAGTGTCAAGTGTTTGGTTTGAGGCTGGATTTGAACTCAGGTCCTCCTGACTTCAGGGCCAGTGCTCTATCCACTGCGCCACCTAGCTGCCCCTTGTTGTGTATTTTCTTTGATTTTCTTTAGTTGATACTTTCTTATTTAAAAAATATAGATTCACTATGTTTGTCCCATAATGTTTTAATACCATTGATCACTTACTTAGGCCCTCCTCCTTTTAATGTTGCCAATAGACTGTAAGTTCTTTGTGGACTAGAAAGTGGTCCATTCGGTACTTGGGTACCCAGCATGGTTCTCGACATGTGATTAAAGGACTTAGTGTTCTCTTAGATTCCTGTTTACTTTTCTAATTGCTCTCAGAAAACTCCTTCTTGCTACTAGGAATCCAGTAGTCAGGTATTAATGAGTCTCTTTTGCATTTATAGTTTTATTTATGCTTCTGTCTCTTCCATTCCAGAAAATGAGATTTTCTTTCATCTTTATCTCTCCCTTTACAGAGCTATCTTCTTCCATTTATTTTTTAACCTCTTTCCCTGGTAGATAGAGTGAATGCTTTTTATAGGCATCGTCTTAGGGTTGTGTCCCATTTCAGCTTCTTAAACTGTTTGCTTGGTTCTTAGTCCTAATTGCTTTTATTTTTGGTTTGTGTAATTGTGCTCCCTGAAGCACCTCCATTGGACCTGGTGGATGGGTCTATGCCAGTGTGACCTTTGGAGGAAATCAATGGGCACAGTGCATGAAGCAGTCAGGTCCCATGCTGGGCCCATGAGTTCAGCTGTGAAAGGATGGAAATCCTTTAGAATAAGCACTGGGATCTGGATGTAAGAAGCAGGATCGTGTTTCTTTGAAGCGGCTTGGCGTTGGATTGGGGTCTGAATGTGCACAGGCTACCCTCGTTAGTACTGTTTGGAAAGGGGACGCCTGGGCTTTCTGGGACTCGCCAGCCCCCTTTACCACCAGCCTGCTGGAGACTTAAGCATGCTTGGGATTCTCTGGTACTTTGGTTCTAAATGTGTGAAAAAGAAAGTGGGTGTTTCATTAGGCTTTTACATTATGTCATGCTTTGTAGATATAGAGTGGGTAGGTATTTATGTTTAACCTCAGGTCTCTCTCTCTCTCAGTCTCTCTCATACACACACCACACACACACAAACATACACACACACACACACACACACACACACACAGAGGCAATTCTTAGAGGTCTAGTCTGAAAATTCTACAGTGGCAGGGCAGACATGTTGGCGTCCCCCCCCCCCCAATACTCCCAGGTCACAGGATGCTGCAGTAGACAGTTCCTCTTTCAGAGAGCAAGACAACATTTGTGAGAATGTTTAAATAGCATTTCGGTCTGCGATGGAATTGTCTCTTCATCTCCTTAGAATCCAGACAGAGGAAGCCCAGGAAAAGTAATTGCTTTTCCTCTGATCTCCTCCATCCGTCTTTTTCCAGTCGCTTGTGTGATGCAAGCTGAAGTTAAAACCTGTTTTAAGGAAATTTTTGGACGGAGTCCTTGTCAGCTCGTGGGGGCGAGAGCCTTACTCTTGTGCGTCGGCTCTCTGTTGGTTTGGTGAAGGGAGGCTTTGTTTGACTAACACATACTTGGTGGAATTAGGACTGCTCCAAAGTGGGACATTTTATAGGGTGAGAGGCCCTGTATTTCCCTCTCTCCTTGAACAGAGGAAAGTTCACTTTTAGAACTCTGAGTGACTTATTTCATGAGCATTTGAGGTACACCCTCAAATCAAAGTGGAGGCCTTAATGGGAAGGAAGGAAAATATGTTTTTCTAAAGGGAACCTTGAGAAGGGACTGGCTTTGTTTGAGCCAGGGCAGACCGGTTTTTTAAATATCTTCCTTCAAGACCTGTAGGGACAGTGTCTCCTATTTCTTGGGTGTCCCTGTTAAGGCACATAAATTGTCAAAGAACAATTGTTAACTGACTAGCTACCACCCTTTATAAACAACCTAAAATCCTTTGACTGTGGCAGATATATGCAACCTGGCAGTTGCATAGCCATCCTCTGGAATGGTGTGCCAGGACTAGCCTCACCCGCTTTAGTCTTTAGCTTAGAACTTATCCACCTACTCCTTCCTGTGCCTCCCATGAGGCCTGGAATGCAGGAGGTGCTTGGTAAGGCCCTAGAGCCCATCACACTGTCCTCTGAAGGGGCGCTTTAGAGGGGCTCTTCTATGGAAGGCTCTGGTTTTTATTTTATTTTATTTTTTAAATGATGTCATGGTGAGTTACATCCTTTAGGGTTACTTGACATTTATGAAATAATCATGATTCACTTGGCATTCGGTTGAACATATTGACCTTTTGCTGGTTTAGATGGAGTATAATAATAATAAGAAGTTATTTAATATTATACTACTGATATCATAGTAATATTAACCATCTGCCATATTTCCCTAATATTTTATAGGTAAAAAGAACTTTTCTTCCAGTATATCATTTGATCCTTACCATAGACTTGTGAGAAAGACAGCTGTAAAGACTCTTCTCTTCATTTTATAGAAGGGGAAACTGAGGCCCAGAGAAGTTCAGTGACTTGGCCAAGGTCACACATTGAGTAAATAGCAGAGTTGGGATTACAGGATCATAGATACTGAGCCAGAAGGAGCCTTACTGGTCACTGCTTCCTGTCTCCTCATTTTCCAGATGAGGAACTGAGTCTCAGAGAGATTGAGGTGCAGTGATTTGCCTCAAATCCCACAGGTAGTAAGTGGCAGGGCTAGGATTCACACCCAAAGCTTGTGACTCCAAATTCAGCGCCCCTTCTACCATCTATGGACTCTTGGTCCAGGGCTGGCAGCATGTTTCCTGCAGCCCATCAGCCCATCAAACTCATTACCAAGTCTGTGCTCCACGTTTACTCTTACTTGTTAAAATGATTATCATGATCAAAAATTAATGGTCTGTGAGAGAGTTTGGGGAAAGCGATTGTGGTGTCGAAAGAGACACCTGGTCCTTGGTGTAAGAGTGTTGTAGCTCCTCAGGAGCAGACCCCCATTAGTGAGGCCTAGTGGAAAGCACACTGGACGGGAGCTTGGCGTTTGGGTGTAGCTGTGTAGTCACAGCCAAACCATTTACCCTCCCTAAGCCTCATTAGCTGACAGGGATCAGTCCTCTGTGCGATACCTACCTCCTAGGGTTCTGAGGAAAGAGCTCTGTAAAGCTCACAGCATGATGTGTACATGTGAGTTCCTAGTATCAGTAACAGTGATATTTGGTGTTATGGCTAACTTATCGTCATCATCATCAATATTGTTATCATTAACTCCAAGAGCAGCCAATATTTGTCCAGTTCCCAGGCAAGAGAGAGAAGGCAGCTGAAGAGCCGCTGGGGACGTGGCCACAGGGAACCTGGGGCCTGAGGGTGATGGCTCCTGGGCTGTGGCTCTGCCCTTCATCACACCCTTAACACAGAGCCCTGAATTGGGAACCAGCAGGACGTGGCTTTATCCTGGCCTTTGCCACTGACGCACGTTGTTTCCAAGGATGTGCTGCTTAAATTCTCTTTCATTTTCCACAGATAAAGAGGCCTGCCAACACTGGTTCTCTCAGAAGGATTCCCTGGAGAAGCACATTACCCTCCAGGGAAAAAGTGAGGCATACTTTCCATCTTTAGAATTAGGACATTGCCTACTTCAGTCATACAAGCAAAAAAAAAAAGGTTTTTGTTGTTTCTTTCTTTTTGAAGAAAGAAATATCTCCCGTTCTATATAGCCTTGATCTCTTTATCGAGATTGAGAGTTGGGTGTAAATAGGTATTTGACAGCATGAGACCAACTTGAATATATCCAAGGATATTAGAGGGCATCTAGGTAGTACAGTGGGTAGAGCACTGGACCTAGAGTCAGAAAGACCTGAGTACAAATACAGCC